TTCACAATTGTCACGCTGCACAATCAAATCTTATCGAATATTTGCTGCGTCAAATATTCTCATTATTTTGATTTTGTCGGATGGAAAGATGAATCGGATATTGTTGCTGCAGGTAGCAGAACTAAAATGTCACGTTCCTGTTCAAGGAGGACCCAAACGCACACTAACAGACAGGTTGAATTTATAACAAAAAGCGAGCTTTAATGTAATCAATAGAAAACATCCAGTACAGACAGGTAACTAAAAGTCTAAAGGAAAGAAGAAAAAAAAACTGAGCTCAAATCCAAAATGCAAACAGAACATCAGGCAGGAAACGGACCAGGGAACAACAGCAGGAACACGGGGATGAGCACAATTATGAACACGGGAATGACCACAGACAAACTGACAACAACAAAGGGAAACACACAGGTATATACACGAAAGACTAATCACAAGCATGAGACACAGCTGGAGTCGGAAGACGTGGGCAGAAGGAGGGAAATGAAGATTGGCTAACAGCAAGAGCAAACATGACTAATACAGAACAGGTGTGAAGGGAAGACTCTGGGAACAGGGAAGGACTAACGAGACAGGTGTGACAGAAAACAGGCAGGAAAACACACAAAGAGAGGAAGTAAAACCAGACATGACCCATGAGGAAAGAATCTTCAAAATAAACCAGGAAGCAGATTAAACATGAATAAATAACATGAAACAGGGAACACAAACAGAAAACTCCTAAATCAAGTCCGTAGGATAACAGAATACACAAACCCGAGATCAGGACATAAAACTGTTTCCACTGCAAAAAACATGTCCTCGAAGTTTGAAACACCTCAACTACTACGACCGAAAGCACAACAACATGAAGCTCCAGGAAATACACCGCACCAAAGGTGAGCCCTCCTCGACCATGGAGGTCAGCTGTAGCGCTACACTGGGTAAACAAGCAAAACTAGATTTTAATCGTGGACAACTACAGCTACAAAGAAGTTATTAAACTTGTAGCTGGATATGTGGTGGATGAAATGTTGCTCTACAAGTAACTCTTTGTCTTTCAGGCAGAGAATTTGGAAAATATGGGTAAGTAAATAGTAAATAGTTAAATCTAAATATTAAATGTGGCACCTAAATGTTAAATGTTAAATCTAAATCTAAATATTAAATCTAAATGCTAAATCTAAGTCTAAATCTAACTGTTAAATCTAAATATTAAATCTAAATATAAATATAAATGTTAAATCTAAATGCTAAATATAAATATAAATGTTAAATCTAAATGCTAAATATAAATATAAATGTTAAATCTAAATATTAAATCTAAATCTAAATGTTAAATCTAAATTCTAAATCTAAATCTAAATGTTAAATGTTAAATCTAAATGTTCTGGGTGAAACTAAATATTTAGCTAATATGCAAATTCACACTGCCGGTCACCGGAACTACCAAAATAAAAGCTCGAGATGGTCAGACTGTGTTTATAGAATCAAATAATGAATTAAAACCAACTTATCGGGGGAAATGGACACTTGAACATACATTAGCGTGATATTAACTACCTAAAATAACAAGAAACGTGTTTGGAGAAATTTTATTTGATGTGTACTTTGAGTTGTTAGTGTCCCTTCGGAGGGAATCACCTTGTTGTTTACAAATACTTCCGGGTAGAAAACCAGCGGAGTTTAGCTACATATATATATGCATATCTCACGTTTTTCACGTCACTATATCACCGTTTAGACTAATCTGGTGTTTGTAAAGTTTATAAACACAATGATTGAACAAACATTACTATCACGTTCTGAAATTGATAACATGGTTATCGTAGATTAGCGGGGCTAACCGTTAGCTGTTAGCCCCGTTAGCGGTGTCTGTAATGACTCATTAACTCTAAACGGTCCGTGAAAAAAAATATTTTTTCCAGCGGATGTCTTAGTTACAACATGATTGAGCTAACTGGAGTAGTTTCATGTCGTATCCAACAACGGGAGGCTTTTAACAGATGACGTTGATGTTAGCTTTGCTGCTGCTGCTGCAGCCACTGATGCTTTCTAGACATTGTGATTTTCCAAAACTGAATAAATACCACACATCGCAACACAAAACTGCTTTGCTAGCTCAGTCATGTTGTAACTAAGACATCCGCTGGAAAAAAATATTTTTTTCACAGACCATTTAAGAGTTAATGAGTCATTACAGACACTGCTAACGGTGCTAAGAACTAACGGTTGTTAGCTTAGCTTAGGTTGTTAGTCCCTCCGAAGGGACACTAACAACTCAAAGTACACGTCAAATAAAATTTCTCCAAACATGTTTCTTGTTATTTTAGGTAGTTGTTATCACGCTAATGTATGTTCAAGTGTTCACTTCCCCCGATAAGTTGGTTTTAATTCGTTATTTGATTCTATAAACACAGTCTGACCATCTTGAGCTTTTATGTTGGTACTTCCGGTGACCGGCAGTGTGAATTTGCATATTAGCTAAATATTTAGTTTCACTTAGAACATTTAGATTTAACATTCAACATTTAGATTTAGATTTAGCATTTAGATTTAACATTTAGATTTAGATTTAATATTTAGATATAACATTTAGATTTAGATTTAATATTTAGATTTAACATTTAGATTTAGATTTAGCATTTAGATTTAACATTTAGATTTAGATTTAGCATTTAGATTTAACATTTAGATTTAGTATTAGCATTTAGATTTAACATTTAGATTTAGATTTAGCATTTAGATTTAACATTTAGATTTAGATTTAATATTTAGATTTAGCATTTAGATTTAGATTTAGCATTTAGATTTAACATTTAGATTTATATGTATCATTTAGATTTAGCATTTAGATTCACATTTAATATTTAGATTTAACATTTAACATTTAGGTGCCACATTTAATATTTAGATTTAACATTTAACATTTAGGTGCCACATTTAATATTTAGATTTAACTATTTCATATATTTCTAAGTTAACAAATATTGCTGTAAATGTGGTAAAAGGTGATGTTAAAAAATTCACAATACTTTTTTAAACATTGTTTGAAGCTAAATGTGGCAAAATGTTGATGTTATTTTCAGCATGAGACACTTTACAAATGGCACCCCATAAGTAATAGCTTACATTTTTAGAGTAACACTGGCAACTGTAAACCTATATAAAGGCTCAGTCACGAAAAAAAGTGATACCGAAATGTGAATGTGAAAGTGAAATACCATGATACAAATTTGTGGTCGTATCGCTGGCATTACTGACACCATTGTGTCTGCACACAAGTACATGTGCACACATACACACAGAGTGGTATTTATTTGGTCACGCCTGCAGATGAAATTCTACAACTTTGTACATATCTGAAACAGTAAATATCCAACTTCTCTGCAGAGAGCAGATGGCCAGAGAGCACTCTCACGTTCCTCATGAATGACTTCATGTAACGAGAGACGAGCGAGAAGGAGAGAGTCAGTGATCTGGGCTCACGGCTGGGGTCCATTTTGCATGTTCTGCTCTTCTTGCCGACTCTGTTCTGCATGAGGAAGTGCTACAGCAATCTAACGTCACAACAAACGATGAAGTACAACCTGTCAACTCTCTTTTGTTTTAACCAACCCCTCTTCTCTCACTGAGCCAGTTGGCTGTGCGTAACAACATCTGCGAAAAAGGTCATTTGTGAGTTTAACAGCCTGCATGGTCTAAGGAATTGGTCCCCCATGTAACTCTATCTATGACAGTTAATGCTGCGTTACTTTGCCTCTACAGTACCTCCACCCACTAGACTCGCTCCATCTTACCATCTCCCAGTAACACCGTGCTCTACTTCAGCCAATTGACACACATACAGTAATACCACATGCACCCTCACAGGAATTCATGGCTGGATGAAACAAAATATATGTCAGGGCTCTCCTTTTACTGAGGCCTTTCACTTCTTCCTCTTACAGTTTAGGACACGATCAAACAAGACAGGACAGGAAAGTGGGATAGCACTGACGTGTATGCGAGTTGGGGGCAGTCAAAGTGTGTGTCTCTGGGGATGAGAAGGGGATGGGGGATTGTATCTGTATCTCTGATCCCCCCCCTGGCCCCTGGGGAGCAGGCAGGGCTGCTGCTGAGACCAAGTAGGGCTCAAGTTTTGTCAACGGGCATCAATCTCTCTTGTCTGTCAGCTCTATAACTCCTAACCTCTGACCCTGCCCCACCCTGTCATGGCCTGGGTTACAAAGCTTCCTGCATGGGGATTGGTTGTCAGGGAGGTCCAGCTGAGGGACAGTGGAGACAGTAATCTTGCCCGTGATGCCGCTGTGTCTCAGGAGGATGCAGCTCCTATTGCTCTGACCCAAACTTAACAAATTTACATTTGGTCTCCTCTCTCCTCTCCTCTGTCTTCTCTGATGCTGTACCTATCTCTGTCCTTTTATTGCTTTACTGATAACAATATATCCTCTTCAAATACCTGCTATCTATCCACCTATCAGTCCATTTCCCCTCCCGCTCTCTTCGAGTTACAAAGTGTCTTCATCCATCTCTCTTCTAGCGACTGAGCAGTCTGTCAGTGAGTTACCTCTGCAGTGAAGGATGGTGGTGTCATTGAACAAAGAGGTTCACTTGTTCCCTACACATGCACTGAGTCTGGTCTAAGAGCTCAGAGTCTGGGATCCTGGAGTCGCGTCTGTGGTGTGTGTGTGTGTGTGTGTGTGTGTGTGTGTGTGTGTGTGTGTGTGGGATAAAGATATGGTGGGAGCACTGAGAGAGACTGTAGAGAGAACATGACAAACCACTTGTGGCATGGTTGTCTCATTGCATCTCCCTGAGCTATTAATCCTTGCAGGGCCCTGCTTGGCTGCTCTCTCAAAGCCTCTCTGTCAGTCGATGGACGAGGTCAACAATTCACGGAGCATCCCTGCCACATTCATCTTTTCCTTTTCCGTCAGTACATATTGGAGTGTTAGCCAAAAGTGCGTTTTGTTGTTAGGGTTGGGGTATGAGGGCAAACAGAAGACAGGTAGGGGTTAATGGGGTGAGGGGTGGGGAATATTGAGGTACTCCAGCTGTGGTGTTCCACAAGCTACTCCCCTTTATCTTTGTCACCCCCTGCCTCCCCTCTCACCATCTCCCTCCATCACTCACTGTCCCTTGTCTATCAGTGTCTTGCAGGTCCCTGAATATCTCTTTAATGCCCCCCTTCATTACTCTCTTCCCCTCTTACTCCATCTTCTTCTATCCTCTCTTTCATATCTCCTCCCCTCCCGTGTGAGGCGGCCTGGCTCACTTCCATCAGCTTGTCTTTGGAATCTGCGAGCTGAGCTTTGGTGTGCGCCCAGCGTGCTCAAACTAACTGCTTTTCCATTCTTTTTAAATTTCTTTTTATCCCCCCTTGGATTTGAGAACTCTTGTCTTGAACATTGCTTTCCCACGGAACAGGTGGCAGGCTACGGTAGTCATGTGGGTTGGGCCTGGATTGTCCGTTGAGTTCACTGACTGAAAGAAAGAAAAAAAGAAAAGAAAAGAAACCGGCTTTATTTTCTTCTTACTTTTATCTACAGCTCTTCTGTTCCTCAGTAAAATTCAAACCAAAATCCCCAGTCAGCTCTTGCCTCCGTTTGCCATTAAGATCAGGACAATACACCTGGTTAACACAACCCTTTGTCCCTGCTGCCCAACGATCAGTGAGATGCAGCTGACATCGGCGCCACTATGGCACTTAACGAAAGACTCAAATCAAAGGCGGGGTGAACCTGTATGATGGTGCTTTTCGCTCACAAACAGCTCTCTGAAGCAGGAGGCCCTACCCTCATGCAAGGACCCTCAATCATCATCAAATCATCAGGGGCGGCTTTGATGCTCCATTCAGTTGATGGCCCATTGTCGCAGCTCCCTATTCACCAGCACCTGGGCAGGCTGGCACAGTTAAACCTTTCTGCTGTGTTATCAAAACAAATGCGTGACCCTATTCAGAGGATTGGAGATCGGAGGCGAGCTGAGAGACTACAAGAGCAGTAAAGTGAACAGAGATGCCCTCTCTCTCAACAAGATGAGGGTGAGTGCAGAGTGCGAGAGAGTCAAATCCTAAAACTGTTATCAGGTATCAACGGGGGATTCCAGTTTCCAAATATGGTTTAGATGGGCAATATCACATATAACAAGAATGAACTGGATAGCATATTCATTTTAATCTTTTAATGAATCTAATCTAAACCTCATAGGAACCTCCGTCATCACATTTTAATCCCCTTTCCTACAGCGTTGCGACAAAGTTGGACTCAGATTTGCAGAGACCTACATGCAGTCAGCTCTAACATGAATAGATAAAGATGGGAAATGCTGACCTGACTGTACTATAGTGGTGGTGGAGCACTTCACAGCTGAGAAGGGTAGCCGTGGGCAGCAGTGGGCAAGACACCCTGGCACCATCACTTTGAGAGCAGCCAAGCCTGTTCTTGTCAGATGGGTGAATGTGGCCTCAGACGCCAGCCAGCGTGTCCCCTGGGTGCCTCCTCACCTCTGTGGCCATGGGTGGGGGTGTAGGTGTGGGGAGGGGGGACAGAGTCCTCCTTCATCACTTCAGTGTGGCGATGGGACGAGCGCCCAGAGTGGCCATACACAGCCAAGTCCATCCCTAGCTGAGCCACAGCACTGGGCAGAGCAGCTTGGGGGCTCTGGACCCACTGGCTACAGTGAAACTGACAGAATATGACTCTTCGTGAGCTAAACCAGTATGGTTAAACACATAGAGATCTATGAAAAGGTGTGTGCTGCTTGACAAAACACACACGCAAGTGCCTGTGCACGCACATACACATCATACACCAGCGTCCCTAAATTTGCTTTGGCCTGAAAAATTGCTGTTTGGAAATGATAACAACAGTGATGGACGCTTTGCTGTTTGCCCTCGTGTTGGTCTTTCTGAAAATAGGGTATGAGTATGAGAGGCAGAGAGCAGCAGAGACAAGGCCGGTGGTTCAACGTGGTGTCTTTGATGCACCGTTGTTCCGCTGGCCACCCTCTCCTCTCTGTGTAGCCCTGCGGTTTGGCCTTGGCTCCACGACCCTCTTCACAGCCCTCTGGTCCAACTCTTCCACCGCAGGCGCACTTCTTTAGCACGTGTCAATATTAGTTTAGGATTATTTCTAGAAGTCCAGAAGGGTAAAATCCTTTTAGAGATTACAGAGCTGACACAAAATAATGAGGAAGAATCTGAGGAACTGTGGAAGAACCATTAATGAATATTTATTATTTGCATGACAAACACAGATGATTTAACTCAGGCATACTGTGGGCAGCTAAATCTGGGTAAAGCCACACGGTGTCCTGGGTAACCTCAGCCCAGAATAGCCTGCAATGAAGACAGGAATCACAGTGGTGTGTTAGGCTCCTGTGCTTACAGATGAGGATGGGAGGGATGAAAACAGTGAACAGAAGTAAGTCCTTCCATCCCAGGGACGATCCTTGATAAAAGGATCCATGTCAGGGTCAGCAGCTGGCATCTTTTTTCGAGACAATGAACTGGGAACTCTGGGAGCTAACTGGGTGGTCAGGTCATTCACAAGTCCGTCCGAGCCAAAAGATTTTACTTATCCTGTTCATGCTATTTAATAGCAGACGACAGATGTAAAGGGGGGATGTAAAAAATGTGCTGTGTTTAAAAGGATGAGCTGTATTTCCATGATGTCTGAATGATTCCCAGGTGGGATGTCCTCCTGGCAGGCCACGGGCTTGAGCAAGAGTTTCTGATTGTTTGAAGCAGTCAGCGATTAGTCACGCAGTTCTTAAATATGCTTGATGCATTACAGCAATGTCGTCTTCAGGGATCTGAACTATATCTCCTTTCTTTTTTTTTTGTACTTGACTAGATGAGGCTGTTCACTCCTTCCTCAGCCAGGCTGGGTTGGATTAAATTAGACTGGGGCCTACAAAAGTAATTAAGGCTGAAATAAGTCCCTTTAGCCAAAGAACTACTTCAGCATAAAGATATGTGATCCCTTTAGAGTGTTATAGTTTCTGGCATTTCTAAAGAAATACTGTTTTACCTGCAGTGTAGGGGATTTCCCCGTCAGCTTACATGTGTGTGTGTGTGTGTGTGTGTGTCAGCAATGACCATGAACTAATGCTCTACAGTAGTAGCTCTACAGTTAAGTGTCTATTGTAACATCTATTGTAACCATTTACCCAGCCATCCATTAATTATTTTAGTATCGATTACTTTCAGTTAACTTTCAATTGTTTATCCATTATTTTCAGATATCCATTTTAGCCATTTACTCATTATGCAGGATTTATACCTCTGCATCCAGTAGAGAGTAGAGTAGAGACCTCCGCAGATCTACTATCTATTTTTGGACGCTGAAACCATTTCCCTCAGTGGAAACGAAGCCTTTATTTACTTTAAATTACAATAAATTGTGAAGACAGTAAACGTAAGTGCTATATCGTGGGTAACTGGACTTGCTTGCGTTTCTTGAAGACGTTTTGCCTCTCATCCAAGAAGCTTCTTCAGTTCTAAATGACTGGTATGAAGTACCAAAGAAGATTCTTGGATGAGAGGCAAAACATCTCCAAGAAACGCAAGCAAGTCCAGTTGCCTACGATATAGCACTTACGATTACCATGACTGAGAATCTTCACCGACATGAAGATAGTAAAGGCTCCACAAAATAGCATTTTAAGTCTTGTGTGTGATTTATCCTGTCTTTATATGAGCAGAGGAAATCTCCGCTCGTTGCTAGGCTAATTTATACAATGTCAAATGCCATAGGCTTGTGCTAATAACATTAGCATTTTGTAGTTGTTTGGAAAACATGTTTAGTATAACACATCTGTTTTGTCAGTGAATCTTGTGGGTTGTAATGAAGCTGTATTTTGTAACTTTCCCTTTGTTAAATGTTGCTGTTGTCCCTGGCTTCGTATGAGTAGAGGAAAAGTCTGCTAGCTGCTCGGCTAATTTAGACAATGTAAAATTCCTTAGGCTTGTGCTAATAACGTTAGCATGTTGATTTTGTGGGGAAAATGTGTCCAGGTAAAGACAAGTGCTTTGTCTGTGAAGCTGATTTGTGTACTTGTGTTTGATAAAAGAATACTCTGACGATTTGGGAGTAATGCCCTTTCTCTATCATTTTCATAGTGAGACAACAAAAAAGACACCAAAGACACAAAAAAAATTGATATCTTTTTTGTGTCTGTACATCCAGTGGCTGCGTCTCAGTGGTTAGCATTGCGGCTTAGCTTAGCGAATACAATTGAAGTCTATAGGGGGTCAGTAGCCTACTCGGTAAAAATGAACAAATAAATGTTACAGAAACCCTGAAGCTGGCATGTCTGCATGTGCATTTAAAATAAACATTTTTAAACATTAATTCGAAAAACCAGAGTCCTTTTTAGTCGTTTTAGAAGAAGTTTGATACACGGAACTATAGTGTGTTTACGCCCTGCGCGGAGGGAAACACCGGTGAGCAACAGCTGCAGCTGGCTCTGGGACAGGTACACTAAACCATTTTGGCTGATAATTACAATATCACCTAGTCTTCAGCTGTTAAAAATGACTCAGTGTGGGCGTTTTCAGACCTGAGGAATTTTTTTCATAGATCAACCAATGTAGCTCTAAGAATTCCCCTTTATGTTGTGTCCACACCTTAAGTACTAGGAACAATTGTAGTTCTTAGTATGCCTTTTTGAGGAATGTTTTTAGCTCCTATATGAGAGTAGGACCTCCCACAGCACAAGAGGAACCATGAGTGACGTAAGTGTACATTGACTGGTCGAGCACAGCCAATGCAGCACTGGCAACCACCATGTTTAAAAACCTGATGGCTTTGGAAACGACAGGCAACACAAAACAAAAGTCACAAAAGACAGACAAATTCAGGCTTTACTGAGCATAGATGCAATCATGGAAATGCAATTTTGATTTGCTAAGCAAAAGTGATGGTGCTATAGCAACCGCTGGCCGGCTACACTGCATCATTTAAGTGTTTCTATCAGTGGTGTGAATGCAAACAGAAAAAAGCCCTTGAAGGTATGTAGTTCTTGGGGGAGCTCCACATCTGGTAGTTCCTCTCAGGAAGTCCCAGGAACATTTTGGTCTGAAAATGTCTTCAGACATAGCTGCAACTGTCCAGGAGGCAAAGACCACTGATATGTCTTGCTTGTTCACCATCCACTGCTTTTCAGAATGGGATTCATTGACATCACTTTCTCACTGCGTTAGGTACACACCACACATAATATCACAGTTCACACTTTATCTTGTCTTGGAAGTATATATACCACAGAAGTCTTGGTCGGAGATATCAAAGAGTTAAAACAGCTTGTGAGGCACTATGTTTGTCAAGCTAATAAATGAATGAAGCAACAGCTAGTATGCATCTCCAGGTAAGGCGTTGCAGGTAAAGAATCTATCACTCGAGGGCTCTGCAAGTTCAGAAGTTCAAGTCCAACATTACACCTGTACTGGGTGACCTGCAGAGCCACAGTGAACAGGAAATGTCTTGTTATCGCAACACATGGGTCTGTTCAGATCAACAATGAAGTTATGTAACCTTTACAAAAGAATGGTATGCACTTTTGTCTGTTCCACGGGGCATGTACCGCAATGACCTGCTGCTCAGAGCACATTCATTTTTCATTAGTATTTCATTCATTAATATTTTAATCGTCATTTCTGAGTCTGAAAACGGGAAAAGATAGGAGTGAGTCACCTGACTGAGTCATTTTTATGCAGTGTATGTTTGTTTGAGTGTGTGTGTGTGTGTGTGTGTGTGTGTGTGTGTGTGTGTGCCATTAAAGAACTCTAGCAGCCCCACTCTCCTTTACACTCCTCTTCTGCTGTTCAAGAAAAGAGTGGAAAGTCCATAAGCAGAAGTTGGAAACTACAACCACAACCAGCCAATGCACAGGACACTTATTCATAGACACGCACGCACACACACACACACACACACACACACACTTGGGGTGGGGAACAAGAGCAGCAGCAGTGGCAGTAGCAGTAAATTGGTACAGACATCCGTCAGAAGCCCCATGAGTCACCCACTGGAAAACGTA